TGATATAATTTATTTTGGTAAAAAATGAAATAGACCCAAACACTTTTAGTTAACCCCATAAAAAGCCAGAGGACCAGCAGGCCCAAAGTTTGATTACACACTTCCATAACCTAAGTATGGTTGGCATTGGAGTCCCTGTAGTTACTGAATAATAAGCCTTAGTATGTAATAAGCCTGAGATTTTAAGGGAATAAAAAGTACTTTAGTGACCGTCATGATGTCAGTCATCAACCATGAATTATATATATATATAAAAAATTATATTCAATTCAAATTTTCTCAAACAGCATAAACTCACAGTGGGCGGAGCTCCCCAGCATTCTTGACCATTTTGCTGATTTTTATAAATTAGCTCTAATTTTTCTTATTTTATCAGTTTACAGTGACTTTTTTTGGTGTGAAATTGTGTATGTGTTGAAATTTACAAAAATGATTTAGCAGACAACCACAATGTTGTATTATTTTACAGTTTCTCTTTCAAAAGATCTGCACAGAGTATTTAGTTTCAAATGGCTGATGGTCAGACAGTTCAGCCAGGTCAGTGTCAGTGACAGTTTTGCACTGCATAACACAACAGTGAGAGTAGGTGGAGTTCTCGTCATGTGATTTCTCACATTAATCTAGCATTAACATTAAACACAAACAACAGCAGCAAAAATGAAGGAACTTCAAGCTCTGACTGACCTTTTACTTGCCGTTTATATGAGTCACAGACATTCTGGTTTGCTAGTGTAACCCCATGGGCATTTATTTTCCTTGAACTAAAATTCATTGCACCTTATCCTTCCATGCTGTGGTGTATTTCCAAGTGAAACTCTGTATCAGGGAGAGTCTCTGATCTAGTTGAGCATGTTTTTACTCAACAAAAGGTGATGGTAGTGGAAAGACATGGTCAAGATATTATTGATTAATTATTATTAATCAGTAATATCTGGTGCACTGTGACATAATCAAAACTCAAAGACATTTTTAGAGACCAGTAAAAGTCTTTAAATTTTGATGGAAGGTTAGAGGAAAATCCTATGCTATGATGAACCAAGCCTAATATGACAAGGGGCACTAACATGGTAAAAAAAATCCATTTTTATTTCAAGCTTTAAATCTATAAAAAGGTAAAAACTGTATTCTTGCATGTGTGAATCTTTAAAAAAAAGTGAATTTATAAAAGAAAAAATAAGAGGTGTACACCATGGCCATTTCAGTTGCAGAGACAGAACAGTATAAATATCCTTTGACAGTCATCAGCATGTTTTATTTGAAATGATGACTGTAAAGGTGACCCTTGGTATAAGAGGTTTTAAAGATGGACACCACAAATACTATCCTGCCATTTTCTCTGAACTGTTTCTTGTTTCTCTTCCCACTTTGCAGAGGCTCCACCATACCTTGAAGGAAAGTTACTTGTGGTAAGTCAGTGGGCCTGTTGCATGGGGGCTGGTACGTGGGAGGCATCACTTGACGCACAGGTCTATGCTAACCTGCTAGCTGTGATGTCAGTGAGATGTGCTTTCCTAAACAGGTCTTTCTCATGCAGGTGTTCCCTGAGGGAAAGACACTGGTGTTTGAGCAGTTCTACTATGACGCAGTGGAACAGAGGATTCGTGTGATCGCACATGAACAGGACAGCACCCACAATGTGTTTGTGGACAGACTTCTGTTGTTCAGAGAGGTACAAAAGAGTATTGAGAGAACTGCCATCTACTACACTGAGAAACCTGTGATCAGGTCATCTATTACACTGTGAACTGTGATCTTTCCATGCCCTATCCACAAATGTGTTCATTCATAGGAACTGTTGCTAGGTTGGGCAAGCTTTACAGATCAATGGCAAAAATCTAATTCAACCCAATGAGAGATTATAGCATGTTGTTTACAATCACTACATAATGTTGAGTTTCTATGTTAAGAGTGCTACACTATTACGTTGGCCTGTGATGACCCTTGTGGCTAATTAACCCTTCATTGCACAGTGTTGCAATGATATGATACGGTTGACATGGCAACAATTACTTTATCTCAATTTTACTAAAAATCAATAATATAAAATCTATGTTTTCCTATTTAATTGTAGAAATAGGGTCTTTTACTTTGAAAGGACAAATAATTTATGACATCACATGACCAGGAATTCTTAGTATGATGATTATTGAAAATGTATTAATTTACAATATTTGTGAATAGGTTGTACGTTTTTTACTAAGTATAAGTTGAATTTGTTTGGTCTTGATTTTTAATAAAAAGATGTTTTTAGAGAAAAATTAGATTTTATGGTGCTTTTTTAGATTTTATGGTGCTTTTTTTTAGATTTTATGGTGCTATGGTATGATTGCGCATTGTTGCCACATGGCAACAATTTACCAAATACCCCACTTAAAAAAAAGTTGGTTTTTTTTTCAAATATTTCCATTATTTAAGCAATTTTAAATAAAAAAAAACCTGTTAAAACATATTTATCATGTTTAAGTAATAATTAATGCAACAGAGGGTTAAAACGCCAAAGTTTGGAAATGACTATAATGAATTTGCCAACATGGTAATGTCCTTTTTTTATCTGCTTACAAAATAATTATTATTTGAAATTAATAATACTCATTATAGTACAGTATATTTAGGTAGTTTGTAAAAATTGAGTTGTGTGCTACAAATTCTCATTCTGTAAAGCTTGTTCAACTTAGCAACAGTTGCTACGAAATAACCTACTTGTGGGCGGAATATGGATTGTTAGACATGGGTTAGATGCAGGTTGTCAGGCAATTTTAGCCTTTAAGTTCCAGGATTCAGACCATTTGGAAATAATTTGTGCTTAAGGCAACTCCAACACTCAAAGTATATGTTCTGATCTTCTCAGAGGTTCTACTATGAGATCAGTTACCACAACAAAAGCTGTACTAAGGTGCCTTTCAGTGCTGCCTTCAGTCCCATTGAGATTCCCATCGATGCCCATCACAAAGCCCAGTTCGTCATAGGAAGCCTCTCGGCTCCTGCACAGGGCCTGCTGGTCAACAACTGGGAGGGATCAATCGCTGAGATTAAGGGTAACTAAACATCTACACTGCACATCTCCAGAGGTGGGTAAAGTAACCTAAAACAATACTTAGCCTAGCAAACAACTGGAGTAGGAGTTAAAAAAGAGATCAGTAAAACTACTCAGGACCCTAAAGAACTGCAGTGGAACCTCTTAATACATCCAGAATCTATCAGCATAGAAAATTTTGTTAGGTGCTATTCCTCCCTTTTGGGGCTCCTTTTGGTCTAAAATAAAATGCTAAAGCTCAACAGTGAGATGTGTGAACAACAGCAAAGCAAGACCAGGTGGTGTCACCATCAGAACACATTGAATCAAACTTTAATGTTATAAATCAACAAAAATCTTGCCCCTTGTAAAACTGACATCCAATTTGGAATAAAGGGACCAAAATTAAAAATGTAAACATTGCTTTATTTATTGTATATATTTATAGCCCGTAACCACCCCCACCCCACAATCCCCCTCCAGATATTTTAAGTTTGACCCCAGGTTACCTCCTACCACTGTACATCACATTGGATAGTCCATGAATCTTGTTAGTCACTATAGCTGCTCTTACCTCTAATTAATTGTTGCCTCTTTTGTAGCAAACTACTCCATGACCTTCACAGAGTTTGGCTGCATTCCTGTCACCATCCTGTACAGCGTTGAGAAAACGGGCCACATCGTGTCAAGGTTGGTGTTCTAAAACTAAGCTAAGCTAAAGTCTTAAGGGGTTTTACAAAAATGCCATAAAACAAGGCAGGAAACAGGATCCCAATTTGCTATTTCATTTACAACAGAAGAACTGGTCATAAGCTTTATAATATGATTATCTTGAGGATTATATAGCCAGTAGAGACACAGAAAGGGTATGTTTCAGTTTACAGGGCTGTTATCCATCTTGAGCTGAGTCTTAAACCAAGAGCTTGAGGTAGGATTAATGGACAAAAACATAACACGCAGCACTTTTAATACATGTTCCAGAGTATTGTTTCTCCCCATTTACAAACAGGGAATTATTCCGTATGAACTTTAATTGAAGACATATGTTTGAAGTGGACGTCAATCAATTGCTTAAACTTTGTTTGTATTAGTATTGTCTCTTTGTTGAATTATGCTCTCAGCACATCATCAAGTTCTATTTTCCAGTGCTTTTTCAGCAGACCTCCTTCTGCATCACGCATTAGTTGTGGTATTGTTGAATTATATCTAATTGTGATAATGAAAGACTTGATGATGAGCTGATTTAATTATAACAAATACATAATCCAGCTTGAGGCCCTGAGGAGTGATGCAAGAAACACTGCCATATGACTTAGCGTCAACACGTAACCGAGTAATTTAATCAAGCTGTTCTTGTGAAGTACAGCCACATGGCCATTGTTTATAATGTAATAATACTAATATGGTGCATGGTATCTAGCAATAGACTACAGCATTCATCCTACTCTTCTATTAAGACATAATTGATAAAGTAGAAACCATTTATGGTTAATCTGAATCTGGGTGACAGACTGACTCCTCTGTTAAACCAAATAAGTTCTACAATTTGACATGGAGTGTGCATTAAACATAAACTACTGGACAAAAAAAAACAGACGTAGATTACAAGAGATTGACAATAATTGAGCCAGATCACCATAGCCAGAACAGCAGCAAAGCACAGGTCGAGTGCATTCTTTGAATCATTTTTCGCTTTACACTAACTCCTCTTCATTTCTGTCCCTAGCTTCTTTGATATCGTCATTGGGATAGAAAATCCAGATATTTTTATTCCTCCATCGTTCTGTACCTCTGCGAAACTGGTGGAACGGAAACCTGGTGAAGTGGCCGACTTCTTCAGAGCTCTCCTGTGAAATGCTTAGCATACAGTACATGTAATCATGTAATCAGATAAACCACTTTTTTAATCACATAATGTAACTTTACTGAGGTCTTGTGGTTTTACACTGTCATTCAAATAAAATAACAACACCAGGTTGGAAAAAAATGCCTACTGCAAACTGTTTATTCTTACACTCAAACATCGTAATGAACACAACTTCTATAATAAAACACAGTATTTCACCCAGAGAAAAAAAAAACAATGAATGACAAACATGAGAGAACTGAATAAGAGAAGGGTTTGGAGTTATACAAAAAAAAAGAACTGTACAGTGTCCAGTGTCTGAAGTCACAGAATCTGTCGACTCTGTCTTTGGGTGCTGAGAAAAGATGGTAAGATCGAGTGCTGGGCTCTCAAATTCACGTTTCACAGCATTGAAGTCAAACATGAGCCACAGCACTACGAGCTAGGAGAGACTTGGCCAGCTACAGATCCCGAGCAGCTACTTGTACAGGATGTCGTAGTGGCCTGGTCGGTAGAGCAGAAAAACCTTGGGGTCACCATCCTCAGGGAAGATGTGGTGGTTGACTGTCCCTCCTTCCCCTCGGTCCATGTACTCCACCAGGATGCACACGTTCAGTGCCTGAGCTAGAGCTATGATGTGGATGTGGTCACTCTCTTTGGACATTGGCTCCACCTCCTGGTCAACAGAGAGGAAGACATTCTGATCTTAATATTACATCTTCTGGAGAACAATGCAAAAAAATAATAATAAAATGACATGAATCACATATGTAAGAATTCAAGCAATAGTTCGAAATAAACCTCACTGCAGTCTTATACTCTACCAATTACAATCATGCAAACTGCAGGCCTACATCACACATTTTAATTTAAGCATGTGTGAAGCATAAGCTTTCATTACACATCATTACGTATTAGCTAAATTAGCCTCACAGTTTTAGTGTAAAACAAAAGTAGCAAACATCCAAGATACCAGACTGCCTTGGCTGATCAACTACATCTGGGATAAAGGAAAAATGTTGTACATAATTTTTCACCAAACTATCACTTCATACCATGCCTGTTCAGTGAAAGTGCTAGGTGTCTCACCTGCTGGCAGAACTCTCGGACAGTGCGGCCACCCTCAATAAAGTGCTGGAAGAAGTCCTCCTCTCTCTGCAGGAAGCCAGAGGTCACCAGCCGCAGATACACCACTAGGTAGTCGGACACACTCTGCTCGTTGAAGGAGCTGAGCAGCTCGCCTACAGAGGGCTGCTTATCGCACACCTCAATCAGGTCCATGAACTAGAAGTACCAGTTAGAAAAAGGACACATGTTCTGTAGGAGACCCTGTCACATTCCAGATTTATTCCTCAGAGCATAATACAGTGCGACCCAGGATCAAAATAACTGGGTCTCAGGTTTGCTCTGAGAAAATGAGAGCCAGTCATGCAGACCCATTTACTGAAAAGATTAATTTTAGTGTCTCTAGAATACTAGTGTAAAACCTGCACACCATCTGCTATGCATGATCAATGAAGATGTGACTTTCTTTTACCGTGTTGTGAAAATCTTCAATGGTGAATTCTGTGAAACCTTGACTGACTAGGTCCAGTTTACTCTTGGCAGCAATGGCTTTAAATCTGCGGGCAAGCACAATGACCTAAATACGATGAAATCTGAGAAACATGTCCAAAAGTTTGTAGACACCCCTAATCTAGCTAATTGAATTAAATTGTGCACATTTCTTTAACTTCCATACAAAACACTGCCAACAGAATGAGATGTTCTGGAGCAGCTGCAGATGAGCCTAAAATCACCATGCCCAATGCCAAGCGTGAGCTAAAGAGGTACAAAACCCCCCAGCACTGAGCTGTGGAGCAGTGGAATTGTGTTGTCTGGAGTGATGGAGCACTAACCAATATATTTCAGAGAAGTTAAAGTGGAGTTTGTGATCCAGAACGGATCATCCAACATCAGTAACTGACCTTATTAAAGCTTTTGTGATTAAATGCAAACAAATCCTTACAGCATATTCCAACATCTAGTGTAAAGCCTTCTCAGAAGAGTAGAGGCTGTTACTGCTGCAAAGACAGACAAATTCCCTTTTAATACCCTTGATTTCGGGTGATTACGGATGTCTTCAATCTTTTGGACATATACTGCATATACACTTGAAGACATACGGTTATGTATAGACTTACATAGAGACAAAAGCTCCTTCATGACTATTTCAATAGCAGTCTAATTTGTAGCCAAGATGGAGGATTACCTGTGCAGTTCCTTGCTATCATCCAACAAAGACTCCAAGTATGAGAACCCAAATGCTCTATAGAAGCAGTTCCCATCTGGCCTTGTCTTACGTATAAATGAGTACTTCTTTTGCAAATCCTGTTGATAAAACAAGACAAATTAATTTATTCTTTATACTTCTCTTTCACCTACACACATTTTAGATAACAATTCTGGAAGTGGTAGTAAATAAGAATGAAATCAATACACAATATTATTGTTTTGTTTGATATAAAACACAGCAAACAATGCAGACTGCCACAGGACTAAAAAGAAACCTACAAAAAAAGAAGTTAGGTCTACCTAGAAAAGTACAAGCAATTTACTTTGCATGGCATTCTTACTCTTATTTTTTGCTGGTAAATGGTGTCATCTTCAGCATACTCTTGCTTAAGTATAGCTAGGTCCTGTCGGTCTGACACAAGGGGAATGCTGGTGGCAATCTGGAATTACATGGTAATCAAATAACAGGCACGTGAGGCAGAGCTTTACCCTCACTCACAAAGCTCCAACGCATGTTTTAGAAACTCTACAATTAACATAATAAATGCAAGTTAGAGAACAGATTTTACCTCTTGCTGAATCCTATCTTGTTGTGCAATTATAGCTTCATCATATGCAAGACAATTCAATCCTGTAAACATAAAAAACCCTTATGAGTGTATAAACAAAGGACCAGAAATGTCATACTCAATCTTGTTTTTTCATATCTCATATTCAATCAGAATTTAATCAAAAAATTTTGATTTTGAAAACCCAGTAAAACAGGCGTGACAAACTCTGATCACGTAGGGTCGTAGTCTTGCAAAATCCCCTGCTCAAGCACACCTATAAAACCCAGCAGGTAACAGATTAGTTGAACAAAGTGTGTATGCAGGGACACAACATGACTCAAGTGTCTTTGTAGCCACCACCCACCCCACCCTTTTCTTCGCATCCTTTTTTTTTTTACTTTACTCTTGGAAGCTCTGCTATTTTAATACATGTGATCCATTAATGCCTTTGAACATGACCGTGAATATAATGAACACAGAGCCTATACCAAACACTTAGTATTTTTATTTTTACTCATATAATCATTTCACTGGATATGTTCATGTACAGAATATGACAGGATGAGGGGCCTGAGGAGAGATATAATTACTACCCTGAGCCATGTGGTCAGAGGCCCCTGGGCAGAAGACCCAGGCTTGAATCTATTCCTGTATGTTTAAGCTTGTAAATCACCAAACTGTGCTTGACACCACGGTTGTAAATACTTGACCAAAATGAAGCATGTTATATCAGGCATGATACAACCATGAGAGTCTTATTAATTAATATTACTATTAATTATAAAAGTTGTATGTACATGTTATTCATTATTAAGTCAATATTGCTGTGATTATGAAAATACAATAACATTGGTTTTGATGCATCACTTCATTTAAGAATCACCTCACATCCTACTTTACCACTTCTGGTTCATCAAACCATTTACAGCTCAACTGTATGTAGTTTATTTAGGCAACTGATGGTATTCCAATAAAGTCACGATCGAGCTGCTGCCATTTTGGTAGGCAACTTCAAGTTCATTCAGCAGTTCTGGCAGTTTGTAATGAGATAGCAAAGTCATAACAGATCCAGCAACGGCAGTAAAACACATTTCTTGGGATCACTTTTTTTAATTTCATTTTTAAAGCATATTAATTGGTATATTTGAGTGTACTACCTTGATTTGAGTAGTTGCTGATAGAAAATAAAAGCTTAAATATAAACAGCCAATATTTCCTGCTTTGCTACTAGCACTCTGTCTCAAATCGCATACAAGCACACTAAACAGTGTGTAAAAATAAAGCATATACCATTAGAAGTGCACTCAGTAGTGTGGTAGGTGAAGTACAGAAGTGTGTGGTTTGGCCTTAGATCAGCTAGTAAGACGTGATCAAAAGCTGCTCTGCTGTGCTGCTCGTTAGCTGCTCATTATACATTTCCAAGTGAAAATTTAAGGTATTCTTTGACTAAGGATGCATTTATTGAGGTAAATGAATGTATTTTTTGAGGGAAGTTGATGTTGGGTTTGGATCTTCAGGTCTGTGGGCCCCATTTTCATTGTTTACCAAAAGAAAAATGATGCAATTTATTATTTCTTTCTCAGATTGACTGAACCGTGAAAACAAAACAATGTCAGGAATTGAATACGAAAATAAAAGTATTTCAATCTAATTTGTAAATGTACTCAGGAAAAAAACAATAAAACTGACTGTTCAAAAAGAGAAACCCAAAACGTAAGTATTGCATCCGAGTCTAGTAACGGAAGTTTTGCCTTTAAAGTTGCACGAGCAGTACGTTACCACATTTAACGAAGAGCTGTACCAGAAAAACACCAGGGGGGTTAATTTAAAGATAGTGTAAATTTAGAAGATTTTCAGTTTATACCTTTGGCTAATTCGCGTCCATCTGTACATTTAATTGTTTAAAAAGTGGCGTAATCACAATTTAACAGCTAAAAGGTGAGAAACTGGTAAATGATACTAGAACGAGCAACTTAAATACAACAGATACACAATGGGGTCCGTCGCAGCATCATTTCAGCGAACGGAAGAATCCTGAATTAGAAAAAAAACCTTTCAGGTCCGCGACGAAAACACATGACGACAGCCTGAAAAGCACTACAAAGAAAGCGGGCCCATCGTGGTGTTTTAGCTTTAAGACTGTAAAATGACTCGTAAACTTAAAGATACGCCGATTTCGGCTGAGGCTAAAATCTGTTTGCGAAGCCGCTGCTGAACGTTAGCCATTGCCGTATTAGCCAGTTAGCTTCTGGGCAGCTGTTCGGCGCTGCCCGCTCCTCCCTTCAACCCTTTTCATTCATTCATACCGAAAATAATGAACAAAATATGATGACTTCAGGTGGCTCGATTCAAGAACATGAACTAAACCAAGCCTGGTAAAAATTCTGCTCACCATCAACTTCTTTCTGAGCCATTCCCTCTTGTTGTTGTTCTTCCTCCGCCATGTTGCCTCCAAATGTTTCCTGTCATGTGACCACGGAGAAACTCAATTCCGGATGGCAAAGCCTTCATTTTCTGGAACTTTTAGTTTTTCCTTGAAAAAAAAAAAATTAAAACCCAAAAACTTCAGTACTCCTGTATTCACCCAAGTTTGAACCAACACCCCTTCTTCTTTTCCTAAGATAACAGAATATTTGATAGCAGAATATTTTTAATCTGTGCATGAAAAAGGAAAAAGGTTTAGGCATGTATATTGAGGCAGCTTTACAACCTGTACTCGTGTTCCACAAGCACAACAAGCAAGACTGATCTAATAATAAACATGCATTTCTGCATCAGTATCAGTGGCCAAGCTCAAAAGAAAATGTGCTGACACGATTTCAGATTTAAATAACAGTTTATTTTAAGTGTGTAACAACATCCTTAAGAAGAAAAACACCCATTACAACAACTCATTATGAAGCCCACTGATTGACTTCTCGACATGCTGGAGTGGCCTGGAAGAGGGTAAACTGCTTTAAGATGGAGCGCTAGATGGATGGCTCATGAGTCCTTTCTTGTTACAGGTGGATTAAAGACAACAGAATGGTCCCCAATGACAAGGGATGTAGAGATCTCTTTTCGGGCCATGACAACAGTATTATGCCTTCTTCTTGTAGCTCTCCAGGTTGGCCAGGACCCATCCAGATGGAGCCAGAATTGCCAGGGAAAACAAAACAAGACTGAAGGTTGTCTCCTGCATAAACACATACACAAGTCAGATCAGATGCTTTCCAATAACTTGAATGAGCAAAGTATTTGTTCCTTTAAACCATCATTATCCAATGGACAGAGGTAGACGGATATGCACAGATGCACATTTCCGTGCTTTTTCTGTTTTAACACAACCACTTTAATGCAGGGCAACAAAATGCAGGGCAGTGGACCTCCGGGGTTGAGAAACACTGCTTTAAATGACACTACAGGTTGGGTACACTACTGTGCGACAGTTTTAGAGAACGTATAGAGAACATATTTAAAAAACTATTTAACTAAACACTGAGCATTTATTTGCTCCGAAAAATGTTAATGTTAAATACAAATAATGTTAATTACAGTAAGTAATAATTGTATGCATGTGAATGTGTTTAACCATTTCAAAAACCTCAATGTGTGGCAGCACAGTATTGGTTGTAGTTATAATTCAATACCTGCTTATGTAAAATTAAGTGTGCTGGTGATTAAACAAATCTACAGTATTTAATTAATCTTTTTGACAGCAGGGGCATTCACTTTTTAACGTATCTTGGTTTATCTGAATATATTCTAAAGATATATCATGTTTTTATGAGCAAAACCAGTTATACATGGCTGTAAACTATTTGATTAGGTGCCCAAGACTTTTGCTGAGTAGTGTATGTCAACAGTTAAACTAAAATCAACGTCAATCAGAAATAATAACGCATTCTTCCTCTGCAGAGGCGGAAAGTCAGGATCAGGATCACTTTAAATGTGATGGATCATAAAAATAATACAAATCCGCGTGTAGGAAATAAATCAGCCAATCCTTAAAATTGTCAAATACTTAAATTTAAATAATACTTTATATATAAATAAATGTACATTTTCTGTAGTCGGCAGTAATCTTGCGTAAATTCTGCAACAAACTAGGTCGTCATACTTTTGGAAAATTAAATGTGGATTAGTTGTACTTGTAGGTACAAGAAAGTATAAAGGTTATCAACCTTAACTTGAACCAGAAAGCATATATTAAAACATCAAACTCATCAAACATCTAAACTACCGACACTAACTGGGACCTGCTTACTGTAAATAACAGGATTTTGAAAAACGGGGTGTCGTGTATAATGAGTTGGTAGACAATGTTTTAAGGCAATCAAGGTATCAAACAAACGGTATGGTTTCAAGCTAATTCAACGGCATAAATATGACTAAGATTGTAAGATTGTTAGTTAGCTAAGTGACCTTTACATGGAGTGCAGCTAGGTGGCTAGGCTAACTTTAGGAAAATGGTAACGTTACAGCTAACACTCCTAGCTCAAGGGGACAAACGTGATTCATAGTTCTTTAGCTAATATTAAATATGTATGAGATTTATGTCTATCAAACACAAGGATAATGTTAACTTTGCCGCCGAGATACAAACGTCCCTGCTACACGCGTTTTCAGCTGAAGGTTAGTCTCCATTGCTGCCTGTCGAACTAACTGCAGGCCGAGCAGAAAGCGCTCAGGGTCACACTGATACTACCACCCTCCTCCACAACACTTACCGCCGCGCCCACGGCGTCCTTGGCCGGCTTTGAGGCGATATTTGATCGCTGGGTGATGTTTGAACCCCGCAGAGCCGGAGCTGTGCGAATTCGCGCGATTCCCCGAAGGATCCCAGACATTTTGCAGCTTCTGAAGCGAATGGAGTGACAACCAAGCTACACAGGAAAGAGCTTTGAGGAGGACGAGAAACGGCAAGTGCTTCTGGGAAATGCAGTATGGCATGGGTTTATGGGAGTTGTAGTCGTTCATAGACACTTAGACAGGAGAGCCGTTTTAGCTTTTAGTCTTTTAGTCTTTTAGTATATTTATACTTTAATGTACTACTGGCAAGATCATGTTTACTTGCTCAAATAGAATTTCTAATATTAAAAATATGGACTAAAAGCTAAAACGGCTCTCCTGTCTAAGTGTCTATGAACGACTACAACAATGAGTATTAGTACAAAGAATTTGATATACAAGTTTTGTATATCAAATTCTTTGTACTAATACTTATAACGCCAAATTTCAAGTTTTACCAGTAAGAATTATATTTTAGCATGTCACCAGGAATTCACGGCTTTTGTATAGCGCCATGCTCGGCCATATTGCCAATAGGGTTTTTTGTTTATTATTATTGATGCATCTTCATTTGATTCCGTGCTTTAGATTGTAGAAGGTAAGTATTGCCAGGGGAATAAGACAACAAGGTAATAGTATAACAGTATTTTACAAAAAGAAATACAATTCAAATATGAATGAATAGCAATGTTTCTTCAAACAAATTTACATTTTTGTTCATCATTTGTGTTCACCAATTTCCTTTTTTTATTTGTTTGTTTTTTTACAATACACATATTGAATTGAGGTGACATAGTTGTAAATAAGTTGTAATTTGGGATTCTATTTGTATATTTCATTTGATAAATAAAATATTGATCAAGAAAAAATGAACAGATTAATTAAATAGGCAGCCTTATTGCAGTCTGGATAATAAAACAAAATATGGTTTCTATTCTTAATGTTCATTTTATGTCCATTATCCTTCATTGCATAATTTCAAAAGCTATTAGGCTTAGTATGGCTACAGTTGCAGAACATATGTTCAGTGTGTTTACTGTTTTCACCACAAAATGTACATAAATCCTCCACTTGTAAGATGTATATTGAGACAATACTGTTGCATCTTACTGTTATAATTATGAATGATTTTATATATGATTTCTTTGATCTTACATAGCGCATATTCCTTAGATACAGTCCATATCTTGTTCCAATCAATAACAAATTTCGAAGCCCAGTGAGAATGCATTGCAAGTACACGTCTTGAAATATACAAGTCTCTAACACGTGTTAATTTCATTGATTGAAACTCTAATACGTTTATCAAAGGTTGATATTGTTTTATCTATTGCGAGACATACGCTCAGAAATAGCTTCTGTTACTCTAATTCTTTTGTGCTAATTTCAGTAGGACTTTTGGATTTAAGTAGAAAATCGGAGTGTGAATAGAATTGACCATTATCATTTAGCAATTGACTTACCAATAAATGCCCATGCACCAGTTTTTAAAGAATACACTTTTATCTGTGACAGATGTCGTTGTTATTCCAGATAAAGCACAGTTTAAGAGAGTAGCTGTGGTCTGTAGGTTCTCTGCTGTTTCCTTTGGCTTTTTCAGTCTGCTACCGCAGCACCATCTAGCGGCTGTGAATGAGAAAAATTCAGAACAGAATTTGTCAACACTCCCATATTGCTTGTTACTTTATGAAATGTAAATGTTTTTTTTTCCCTGACCATCTCTTGCCCTACTTACAGCTGTGATATTTTGGTAGATGACAACACCGTAATGTAAGTAATCTGTTTATGTTAGTAGGGTGTTTTTTATATGAATTTAGTTTGTATAAAGCTACACGATGTACGTTTTGGGGATTTGGAGACCTCTCTGGTGGATATGTGTAATTACTCACAAAGTGCAGAAGACCATTTTGTAGTGCTGGTTGTGTATCGGCCCCCTTACCCCAGTGGATGAATCTGGTGATTGAAAGAGAACTCACAGAGAATTTATTCAAAACGTGGTAAAGGACACGTCTTCTGAGGATGTGAGTAAATTATCTACAGTTGTCACCATATCTTCATTAGTGTAATGCTGATTTTACGTTTGAAACCTAAACATCAAGACGGACCTTCTTTTTGAGCCTGTTCATGTGACGTGTGACTTAGAGCTTCCTGGGCGTGTTGTCCTACCTTTGTATTCAAGCTCACAGTGGATCAGTTTCTTTCTGGAGTCTGTAAGTGTTGGGCACGTCTGTGGAATCTGCAGAATCTAAGCTAGATGGAGGGATCTTTTTCACATCTCTGGGATGTGAACATGAGGATGACCAGAATGAGCTCCACAGGACCTGTACACCTGATACAGCAAAGGAAAATGTGCGTTGAAACAGAAAAAAACAAGAAGTTCTGCAGGAAAGCCCTCAGATTTTTCACCAAACCAGGGAATGGAATAAACGGACAGAAGCAAAGAGTAGAGGATGACAGTGGACAGAATGATGGCGCTGAACCCAGTTCACAGGGAGCCCCTCCACACAGCCAGATGTCCACCAGTATCCACAAAAGTGCATCCATAGACAGACAGACAGTCTGACAGCAAATAATCGTAATAAAAGTGGCGTAGAAAAATGCAAGAAAACCATTTTCATGTCTGAGCTGCACAAGCTGGGTCCTGGACCGTCCCATCATGAAGACCTCCATGACTGCATCATCCTTTTCCCAGGGATGATGGATTACCTGAACAGGGCACCGATGCTCTTGAGCGGCTTTGAAGAACAGGGCAAAAGGAACTGTAACAAAAGTAGGACTGTCCCTCCTCGGAGATCTTCAGGGCAGCACCATCATGCTTCCTGAGAAGAAGAGCATTAAGAAGTTGCAAACTGGATAGAGAACCTCAGCGCTGCCATGAAAGAAACCACCACACGTCCCTTAACTCCATCAAAGCGGCACCTTGTGTTCTTCTGCTTCTTTCTTCTGGTGTTTCTCTCAGTTTCTGTGTTTTTGCCATTTGTGATCTGCTGCTTCAATAAAAGACTGATTGTGCAATACAAGAACTGTGACTGTACTTAATGGTTTCTATTGTACTTATCATATAGGTGCACTTTGTAGTTCTGCAATTACAAACTGTAGGACTTCTTTTGCTCTGCATACATTGTTAGCCCCCTTTTACCCTGTTCTTTAATAATCACAACCCCTACGGGCCCTGACAGAGCAGGTATTATTTGGGTGGTGGATCATTCTCAGCACTGCAGTGACACTGACACTGGCATGTTAGTGTGTGTTGTGCTGGTACGAGTGGATCAGACACAGCAGTGCTGCAGGAGTGTTTAAATACTGTCCACTCTGTTAGACACTCCTACCTTGTTGGTCCACCTTGTGAAGTCAGAGATGATAGCTCATCTCAGCTCAGCAAATAAATAGAAATGTATTTAGTTCAGTAAATAAACAGTTGTTTTGCAAAAAATGTGCAGAATTAATTGTAAATAAGTTAACAAATCCTCTACAGAGCACACACTTTTGCACAATTTCATACACAGTTACTGTTTATTTGCTGAATTTAACATTTTGGAACAAATATAACCTAAAATGTCGCCTTTGCAGAAGTTATGGCACGTTAAAATTTTCCCAATATGTTTCATTCAGGATGTGTTCATTTATTTTCACTTGGAAAATCAACAGAACTTGTTATTTGACCTGGGAGTTTAAACATTTGCATACAACTATATAAAAATTATTGCTTATGTGTTAATAATTCTCTCAGATATAAAATAAATTACACTAGCAAAAAAAAGTTAATTGAATGTCATTAACACGCACACACACACACACACACACACACACACACACACACACACATACATACATATATATATATACATATATATATATATGTATATACAGCTGAAGAAGCAGATTAATGATCAAGAAGAAAGTGAGGGAGTGTTGTTTAAGCTTTCACATAAAATGAGTACTGAATTTGTAGAAATGTTATTCCCTTAATATATTCTCATTTGTGAGACTAAAATAGCTAATAAAATATAACTTTTGTGCTGTCAAATGTCACTATGAGCATGTCACCTAGACTATGAAACATGTAGGCAAAACTACAGAATAAAATCACACTCTCTGATAGCACAAACTGAGACAGTACCAATCTGTAATCTGTGTATTTGACAAAAATATTAGGATCTACAGTTTACCTAATAGAGAGGAGACAGCAATGCCTAACTTTAATGCTTTTGTTTGACCTGTGATCTGTGTAGGTGAACAGATATAGAATTCAAGTCATAAAAGATCTGTGCTTAATACACTATGAAGAAACAGGTCTACTATGTCCACTTTGAACTAACAGCCATGGACGTCTTGTGTTAGTGAACCAAAAAAAAAACAGAATATGTCATTTAGTTAAGAAGAATCTTTATAATACTTCATTGGTGTGGTTTTGTAATATTGACAAACAAAAAAAATTCACATGTAAAAAGTTTAAAATAAAAAGTTAAAATGATTTTTCTGACCTGACATCTGGTGCTACTATTCATTTACTATCAATAAATTATTTCAACTACATTCTGGTCTAAAAAAACACTATGCTGATAATGCTGTCAATTAAGCCTTAGTTTTATGATGTAAAGTAGAAACTGTCCTGCGCCTTGCTCTCTCTCAGCCCTTTGATATTACCAGAAAACCAGTGCAAACCCTCTTTAACATCTCTGCTCTTCTCTACTGGATCTGGGTATAAGTTTAAATGGAGGCTATTGCAGCTGGACTGTGTGCTCCATGGGCAGGTCGCTCACAGTGGACTAAGGCACTGCAGTTTCCTTTAGTGGACTGTTGCTGGAGTCTTTTAAGTCCACTTCCTCTTTCTTAGAAGACTGTTTTCTCTTTCTGAATCCTCTGTATAACAGAAAAAGGAAAACATTAAGAATAACATTATGTAATATAACGGAATAACTAATGCAATATAATTCATTTTTTTTATCAAATACAGATGAACATTGTTACATAAAATGCAACACGTGATGTATGTGTATGGGGCTTCTAGCATATACAGTTAATGTAACAAAATAAATTTAAAACCTAACCATCTATGTTTTATGTGAAAATAGGTTTATATGTGTGTTTGTTTAATCAGTCGATGAAACCTTACAAATTGTTTACTGACTTGTTTTTGTTTAAGCAACTATTTCACTTTAGTATTAACATTTTGAATGAATTTTGTGTCTTCATTTTTAATGTTCTTAAGTTTATTTCTAAGTAATAAGTAAGATTCACAGTATCAAAGGCATGTTCAAGGTCTAAAAGTGCTGCTTCCACTTCTTTACCTTCTTCTAAACAACATTAGCTTCATTTTAAGGGCCTATAGATCCATTTACTGTGTGAAACAAGAGTCCATTGACAAAGTACATCAGCCATTACATTCACCTTCAGTGCAAATCAGCGACTGACTCCATAAGTGAGTTACACTATAGACATGCTCTCTTTCCCAGACTCACCTGTCCTCAGCATCCTGGATAGTGTCTGGGAGAGGAGCAGCTAGTGTCTCAGGGAGGAAGTAAGCAAAAATTCCACTCAGAATGGGAGCTCCTCCATAGATGAAACCCGGAAGCCATGCCACAGTCTCCCCCAGCAGAAGCACCAGGGGAGCCACCATAGCCCCCAGACGTGCCATCATCGACACCCATCCCATGCCATTCTGCCTGTGAGATTCAAAGGAATGCAATGTAAGCTGTGATTTGAAAGCTTTCTCTGAGCTTGTTTTAACCACATCTGGTCATAAACTCAGAGGAATGATGCAAACTGGGGCCCATGCTTTTCCTCATTCTCATAATGGCAGAACTTAATTATTAGTTTTGTGGTAGTTACTGAATAAATAATAGTTGTTTCTGAATAATAAGCTTTAAGATTAATATCTGAACAATAATCCTGCAGTTCAGGGGGTTAAGACATTTAAATTGTATGCTTAAGGTTACGTTCACATTTTTTGTACATATCAGATGTATTTAATTTAAGACAACATACGAAAGCTGATCAAATCTGACTTGAAAAGATCTGCACAACTGTGAAAACTTCAGATTTCAATTTGACAAACCAGATCAGATTTGTGCCAGTTCAACCTGAGAACATGTGAACATATCCTTTAATACAACAGCATAGAAGATGAAGATAATGATGACGACAATGATGATGTTGATGATGATGAAGAGAACAATTACCGGACCACTGTGGGGTAAAGTTCCCCTGAGTAAAGGTAGCAGCAGTTGAAGGAGGCAGCCAGGCAGCCCTTTCCAATCACTGCCAAACTGGTACGCAATGTTTGCAGTTCTGCACATGCACAACGAGAACAAGCATCAGAGCAAAGCACCACAGCGCACAGCCACATGCAGTGTCACGACAGCCCAAGAGCCTCCTCATGCGTATGGACATTACAGAACAAAGGAAGGGAGAGGAATTAGTGATAACATTAGTAGGACCAGACTGTTGTCCTCACCATAGGGCACCAGCAGATTGATGAGGATGGTAATGCCCGCTAATGTGAGTGCTCCACACTGGGATATTCTCCGTCCTATTATACTCATAGATACTGTGACAATGATTTTGGCTGGAATATCCACGGCTCCAAAGATCACCTGGATCAAATATATGTTCACCCCAAATTTCTGTAAGTCCATCGAAAGGCCATAGTAGGCAAAGCTTGTGGAGAACCTAGGAGAACACAACATAAATCCACAACAATTAGTAGTCTGCCAAAAAAAAATCACTGCCATGTTACAAACAGTAACACATACAGAATCTCTGAGATGTTTTCAACATTTTTCCCATATATATATATATATATATATATATATATATATATATATATATATTTCTATATATGGACTGTATGAACTGGGTAGTAAATAGTACATTTTGAAACCTGAACAATGTTTACACATTACTTTAGGTTTTTGACTTTATTTAAAATAAGGGTCCTTTAAAACTCATGTGTGTAAGTTATATCTATTCTGCCTGGCTACTCGGTGTTGTGCTTTGTTTGGAACACAGTTTGGGCTGAATTCTGTACTCCTAAGTCTGAACTGAAACCATCAGCAACATTGAACAAAAACTTAGCCAGGCCTTTTGATAAATCCTTTGAAAGACACACTAAACGGCACAATATTTGATAGCTTTCCTCACATTTTCTGCTCTAATAATTATGTTATAGGCTGTCTGCAGTAATAACATTCCTTATCACTCCAGTGTGAATGGGCGGGTTAATATGCTGTAGGATGAGTGGGAGATCATATGTAAATAGGTTTACTGTTGTGAGCTCAGAACTATAATGAATTCAAAATGAGATTTTGAATGAATTCAAGGTTAGAGTTTTTCATTTTCAGCAGTAAATAAGATATGTTTACGTAATTGATCAAACTCTTTTATCCAAAAAAGGAAAATTACCATTTCCGTGATATGATTCCTTTATGGAGCTAACCTGAATGTCTAGTGTGGTGAAATTAGTGAATAAATCTGTGTGCAGCAACTGACCAGACTGCACTGAGGCAGACAGTGATGCTTCTCATTGTGCGGTTCCGTAGCAGGTCCAGCGCACTGTGACTGGTCTGTGAGCAAGACATCTCCTTCTTCATGGACTGCTGCAGCATCTGCGCACACATACGCAAATTCACACACAGGCAGTTATGGGTTGGTTTGGAGGACTAAGAAACTGTCATGACCCTTTAGACTTTTACCATCATCACCTCTATATTGATTTTGTCTCCCTCATCACAACGGCCGTTCATGCGCGCCACAGCCTTGAGGTTTTTGACTGCCTGTTCAGGCTTCTTGTTCAGGACCAGCCACCGTGCAGACTCCAAGAACCACCTACATATATGTGAAGGTACATTTATTAGCAAAATAGACTCTTGGATGTTATTATGGAGGTAAAAACAGAACATACAGGTTCCTAAATGGTTCATGGATTGAGTGTATGGTTAACTGTTTATTGTTCTAGAAACTTTGCATTATGTGGAAGGTTATTTTGTGCTTTTGAAAAAGGTCTTCACACATTTTCCCACACTCCAAAATGTGGGAAAATCAAATAATGTTGAATATTCAGGCTGAAGGCCTACTTTAATAATCCCTCTCACTCTCTCTTAAAAAGAAACCAGGCTGAGGATAATGATATAAATACCTCATGTTTGTATAGGAATAGACCCAATAAGCGTAGCCAAAACATTAACAAAGACACATAGAATATTTTCTTATTTTATTATTGCCTCCAATTATTAAATCTGGAGGCGGTTATTGAACATGGTGAATGTCCAGGCTTAACTGCGATTTTTTTCTTTTGTCTCACAAAATAAGTATTTCAAGCACAGTCCTGCTCCAGTTGTTTTTCCCTTTCACTCATGCATGTGCGTTCCAGTGATTTCATAACTTTTTGTGTAACTGATTTTCTGCATATACAGACTGATGCAGTGTCCAAAATGGTCCCCTAATCCCTATCCCCTGCATTCAATAGTGTAGTAGTAAACAGTAATAGTATAATCACTATACCCTACATTCAAAAATCTGGATCACTGTAATGAGCTCTATTATAGGAAACAGAATTTGTCATGGTAGCAAACGATTTTGGACACTACATCATACGGGTTTGCTCATTACTTACAAATGCAGCTCCTCCCCTATCCTCTAGGGCACATAGGTTATACACTACTTGTTGCAGTGCACTGTGAGATTGTTTGAGTGCGCTGGATATTCCACACTATGTTTTCAGATACCACTACAAAATGGCAGAACACCAAAATTTAGCCAATAGTTCACACTATATAGCCAATAGTTTCAAAGACAGCTTAAGTGACGCTTGTTACATGAGGTTTCATAACCTGTTGTTAACATTAACAAACACATTTCATGGTAAGCTGCTTGCACTGTTTCACAAAAATAAGTTTATTATATATCTAGGCTATCAAATGTTAACTAAGTGCTCTAACTACCACATAGCCTGAGCTAATTAGCTTGGTAGCTAAGCTAGTTATCAGTAATATTTCTAGCATTAGCTCGATAATTAAGTATAATTAAGTAGCTGACTAACGTACTAGGCTTGATTAGCATAGTGCATTAACCATTTCAATATTTCAAAAATATTTCTAGTGTCAGTTTGCTGATTAGCTAGCAGAAAAACTCACAAGACTAATAAAGCCAAATTTAGATAAAAAGTATGCCTTGGGAGTTGACCACCTAGCTAATTAGCGAACTAGTGCCAGTCTAATGTTTACCAAGCCAAACGTAGCCTAGTTAACTGGTTAGCTGATTAGTGAGCAAGTGCTAGAATTATTGCATGCCTGTTGTGTAACCTTCTCACAATGAAATTTGGAATTTGGTATATTAGCCTGGTTAGCTACTACAGTATTTCCTTCCTATACCTGTGTAGGTTATGTTTTAGATTTGGAAGAACAAGTTTTTTAAAAAAAAAACTTTTGTGTAATTGTTCAGTGTGGCATCAAGCAAAAATGGTTCTTTAAAGAAACCTCCATTGAGATAATCCTTAAGAAACCAAAAGTGGTTCTTCTATGCCATCACTCCACTTTCTTTCGGTCCCACTTAATGTTTATGAGTGAGAGTGAAGACTTGCATTATCAAAGACCAGTGATACAAACCATGAGTAGAGGAAGGAGACATAGAAGGGCAAAGAAACAGCCAGAGTGAGCCAGCGCCAGTCTCTGATGTTGTATGCCACTAGGGCTAAAATGAGCTGGCCTGTAGTGTAGCAGTAGCCTGTGCCTGTGCCCACCACCGTCCGCACACGAGTAGGGATCCACTCCACAACTATATGAGATACAGAGGACATGGATGTCATCATATGTACAGTACCAGTTCATTTTTTGGACACACCTACTTGTAGAAGGGCTTTTCTTGTGTTTTCACTGTTTGACACATTCAAGAGTAAAAATGAAAACATTAGCACTATGAAAGAGCACATATGAAATGATGTAACAAGCAAAAAAATGCCAAACATGTCAAAAGTGTATTATTGTTTGGATTCTTCAAAATAGCCCTTTTTGCCTTGATGCAGCTTTACATACTCTTAGCCTTCAATAAAAAAGAAAAGTAAGGAAAAAAAGGGGGTGGCTGTTTGCCTCTAGTGGTTGGAGAGGTGAGCCAGCAGGCAGAGGGTCACAGGCTCAAATTCCAGGACTGACTGGTTATTCCTGGTTGTGTTGGAAATATATGTTTAAATTAAATTGTTTCATTAAGAAAAATATATAGTAAATTCAAGCTTTTGTGTGTTTCTCTGGCACAGTGCCTTTGTGGTCTGTTTTTATAAATTTTTTTGGTATGCTGAGTTTACTGAGTTTGATTGAACAACATAAATTAATCACTTTGCCGCCATAGCCATACATTACAGCCTCAGGCAAGATGTTTACAGAATTGATTTTTACATTTTCTCAGTTACAGAGAGAGAGTGGAAGTTCCAAACAGATTTCAGAATGATCATTATTCAGCCAGGGCTTGCTTTATTGAGTACACAGACATGATGGAATCTGTTTGTGACTCTACAAAACATGCTTATAGGGACTAAATCTTCATGTGTCTGTGGTGGGTACTCACTGAGGGAGAAGGAGTTGAGGACCAGGCCGGACAGAGCCATGCCACATAAGAAGCGGAACACGCAGAAAAGGGAGAAGGAGGTGGCAAAGGCCGCACATGTTCCTGACACTGCCATCATCAGGTGAGAGATAAGAAGCAAAACACGCCGGCCAAACCTGAGGCAGAGACACTGTTCAGCATTCTATGCTTTAAAACGTCACGTTGACATGGCACTTGGGCATATCTGTGGTATTGTTATTTTGTTTAGAATAAGAATTAGAATGACATACACTGTTAGAAATAAAGGTTCTGAGCAGGTACAATTTTCATTTATCAAGGTACAACAATGTAACTGTACCTCAAGGGTACCACGGTGGTTTTATGGTCCAACTGTGTACCTTAATTTCCCAGTGGAAAAATTTCCCAGTGGAAAAATTTGTGCCTTTTTATAACCTAATGTATCAAAACAGAACAATAAAATAAAAAGGCTGGAGACGAGACGGGGTGTGTGGAGTTAATACAACTTAGAAAATTTAATTTCAATGGCACTCCAATTGGCCACCTAGAGGGAACATATAGTATGGCAAGAGACACTGCACAACCAATCGTATTGTACATCCTTTGCATTTTCATTTATCAGAGGTGGTTAGTAACCAGTTACATTTACTCAATTTCATGTACTTAGATTCATTTTTAATATATATATATTTTTTATTTCTAATCAGTTCCGTTTAAGATGTTCACATTTAGTTCCTAATTCCATTTTTTATTGTTTTTTTTATTCTATTCTGTTGGCTCGGCACTTGCTGTGTTGCTCACACCCTTCATTTGAGCTTTATCTTATTATTTTAGGCTAAATTGTTCCCAAGAAGAGTAATAGTACTTACACGGTTCCTTTCTTTTAAAAAAAACTGATACCCTTTTTGCCTTTATTGGAATGCTACAGTATCCACATCTGTCCATTATTAACATTTATATGTTACTTTAAAGACATGTCCTTCCTTGATTTCCTCCTGTATGGCCTAAAGGTGGTCATTAAATCATCTTCACAATCATCTCACCTGTGAAGATTCTATCCTCTGTTTTGTTACTGACTTTGCCAGTAACTCTACTGGATATCTATAGACTGTTTTTGTACTTCAGTGAATTGTGCATGAGATTCTTGTCTTTTTGCACACAAAAGGCTTGTCTTTTACCACAAAAGGCTTGTCTTTTTCTTCCATGCCACTTTTGTTTTGTAATACTGTTGTTTATTTATAGCTGTCTGTGTCATGGAAAAATAGAATAAGACTACAGAAACTAGCACAAATACAGAAGGCAGTGTGGACCTGGTTTCTAAAGGCTAATTATGACAGCCTGGTGAAATTATACCATTAAAGGAGGTTTTCAACTGACAGTCATTTATATAAGAGAAATTCTTGGTCATTGAATGGTCATAAAGTTTTTAATCAAGTAGACACAGTAATCCCTACCTGTCAGAGAGTCCCCCGAAGATCACTGCCCCCAGAAGCACCCCTCCCATATAAATAGTTTGTCCCATCTGCTTCAGAGACCGCATATCACAAACTAAATCCCACTGTAAGAGAAAGACACAGAACACAGGAAGACAAGCACACAATGCTCTGATTACTTTTGCTTTTTAACAGGACCAATAGATGTGCTCTCATGAAGTAGAAGACACTGATGTCTCCCTGACCTTTTCTACCCTCTTTTTATCCCTTAATGAAAAGAATTGAACAGATATTATATATTATATACTCATTGATCTCCTTTATCTGAAACTACATCCATTTAGTTGAACTGGATTGACCTCAGTGTACACCAATGCACTTTAAAAACAAAAATGAAGACCTGTGAGTTTACTTAAAAAAAACTGCAGGTGAACATAACAGAAAATTTATTACAAACTGTTGCATTAAATGTTTCATTAGTTTTTTTACAGCGCACTAAGCACAAACCCTCTCTGTCCCCTACCTCCGTAATAATGGTCGAGGTCATTTCGGTCATATTGTATTTCCATCCGTCCACGCATCCCTGCATTTCGATTTCATTCTCTTCCTTCTCCCACTCCAGCTCCTCAGACCTGTTTGTGTGCAGTAGGTGCCACTGTGGGTGGGCGTAGCGTCTGCAGCGCTCAGGTCTGCCCTGCTGGTCCAGCGGTACGCTGATGAGCAGTGTGTCTTCCGGGCGCAGCGGGTGGCCAGAGAGGTTAGTATGGGCAGCACAGTGGTGAGGCGGCACAGCAGCTACAAAGTTCTGCATCAGATTGTGGCTGGCCATCATGAGGATGGGCAAGGAGAGCAGGGTGACATGCACAATCTGGAAACGGCCAGTGCTGCCAACCTGCTCCAACAGGTCTGCGAATGCCATGGTCCACAAGCAGCACTGAAAGTCTGTTCTGCTGCTGCTTTCTGATGGACTGAGCCTAAAGTTTGGGGCTCTGCCTCAAGATTTGTTCTGAAGTATCTGTGAAAGCACAGAGATCAAGCTGATTTGAGCAAAAATTAAGCAAGGCAGAGGTTGAGTTGAAGGGTTTTTTAGCCTTGCTTCATTTAAAAGAATTTGACTTGAACACACAGTCTTTTTTTTTAGCTGAATTAACAAGAAATTTTTTAATTTTTTCTACAGTTTAGGCTTTGTAAATTTTTTGGATATATTACAACTGATGGATTTTTTATTGGACACAATTGCCTAGGTCTGACTATAAACCCTTCAACAGTAGTTTCTGTTGTATGAATAAAAATATTTGAAATCACACTTGGTTAACCATTCACAATATGAAAGCACATTGCAATTATTTTGCCTGGGCGTCTTACTGCCAATTAGTTTCCAGAACTGAGGGCACTCTCGTGCAAAACCTCCTGGGCTCAATCTGATCCTTTGTTGAATGCAAATTTCCAGCAGCAGTGCAAAAAAAAAGCCAAAAGCTTTATCACATTAAAGTAGGTCATGGCAAAACAGAAGAACGTATAAACCTGAGAGGCTCTTTTTTTTCCAGCAGATTGTACTGTGCTGCGTAATCAGCTCTGAAATTCCTCCAGTTTTTCTGAGGAAATGCTGCACACTTCAACACTGGATTAAAAACAGTGCTGCTAAACCTCTTCTGGTCATAGCAACCTTTTCCATGGCACAGAAATGGAGATTCGGTTAGTTGAGGCGCCGTGAAAAAACACAATGTGTGGCCAGTTGAATCCTCAGGCTATCTTCTGGTCTTCAGTAGCTGTGCCTCTGGTCAAGCTTCTTGAGAGCTACAACGTGAGACTCTGAGGGATGGGGATGGGGTTGAAATCCAAGTCACTACGTGTGTGCGTGTGTGTGAAAGAGAGAGAGACAGAGAGAGAAAGAGAGAGAGAGAAAGTGAGTGAGAGAGAGAGAGAGAGACAGAATGTTAGGGCATTTTGAACAAATACTGGTAAAACATAATTACTGACTAGGCTTGGTGACTGAGTGGGACAAAGGTAGCTGATTTTTCATACAGATACCATCGTTTGATAGGAATAGAAAGATAAGATGCTAGTAGAAGTTTAACTTGTGACCGTAAACCACTCACTCACCTGAGCACCCCCACCAACACCGAGGTTTACTGTCAAAGTCCACTGTCTCCCCCTCCCCATACACATTTTTTTACAGCTTTTATGAAGTCCAGGACACAAGACCCCTGATGCAATGACTCAGCAACAACTCACCAAGATCAGTCCAACACAAGCACAGAGGAAAGGGCTAATGACTGAGTTATATAAGACAGAATTAGAGAGCTAGAAGGACCAGAGGGAGGTCTAGACAGACGAGAGTGGCAAAAGGTGTGAGAAGCTCTACTATGTAACAAAGGAACCTAAAAAATAAGCAGCAATCGAAGAAACTTTAAGAGTCTTAGATCTCACCTGGAATTGTTCAAATAAAAGAAAAAGACCTTTTGTAACTGCAGGCTTATTATCAGATTATTAATCTTAAGGCACGTTTCAGCTACTATGAAATATTTGGTACCTGCTATGAAACTATATAAAATATGTAAATTGTGTAGTGATAAGGATAAGAAATTGAAGTGTTTTCCCACAAAAAGGCCCTTGCAATTTGAAGGGTCAAATGTAAAAAAAATAAATCATGTCACTTTCTCGTGTTAATGGGAGGTATACATATAGATAAAGATACACTTTTAGATTTCTGGAGGTAAAAAAAAAAAGATTAAAATTAAGACTATCTTGTCATATACAGGTACTTCATAACCATTTGTAACTGTAGTACTGCTCTGCTGCTGTAGGCTGAATAAGTGCATATATGTAAATGGGTTGATTCCTGTGTCATCACAAAAACAGTGAATTTTAAACCGGCTGGTTTTGCAATTTAATTTCCATACATGGACTGTATGAACTGGGTAGTAAATGGTATGCATTGAAACTTTAACAATGTTTACATATTACTTTACTTTACTCCTTTATTTTAAAGAAGTGAGAAAAATTCGTTTTTCATATTATGGGCCCTTTAAGACTCAGGTATGACCTTTATTCTGATTGGCTGCATGTGTTTTTCTTTTTTGTTTTTTTGTTTGAACACAGTCTGGGCTAAAATGTACAGACACCTCTTCAGTTTTCTGCTCCAATAGCTCTACTACAGACTGCAGTAACAACATTCTTTATCAGGTCCCTGTCAAAGGGCAGGCTAATCAGCTGTAGGATATGTCTGTAGTTGTGAGCTCAAAAAATCAAAAATGATTTTTTTGTTGTTTTTAGAAAAAACAACAAAACACAAAGACGCTGAGTTCAAAACAGGCTTATTTGCAGCTTATTTTCTATATATAGACTTCATATGTATATGCAGTGGTGCTTCAGCCTTGTGACCGGGAAGGTTGCCAGTTCAATCCCCTAAACCAACAGTACATCACTGAACTGCCCTTGAGCAAGGCACCCAAACTCCAACTGCTCCCCAGGCGCTGTGCATAGGGTTGCCACTACTCCGGGTAATTTGCTCACTGCAAATTGCAGTGAGCAAGGGTAACTTAACTAAAACTTTATCAGATTTTCACACAAGTCCTAATAGCAGATAAAGAAAAACAAATTAAACAAATGGGACAAAAATATTACGCTTGGTCATTTATTTATTGAGGAAAATGATTCAATATTATATATCTGTGAGTGACAAAAGTATGTGAACCTTTTCTTTCAGTATCTGGTGTGACCCCCACTAAACGTTTCCGGTAACTGTTGATTAGTCCTGCACATTGGCTTGGTGGAATTTTGGCCCATTCCTCCGTATATAGCAGCTTCAACTCTGTTATGTTGTTGTGTTTCCTCCCATGAACTGCTTCAGGTCCTTCCACAATATTTTTCTAGGATTAAGATCAGGACTTTGACTTGGCCATTCCAAAACATTAACTTTATTCTTCTTTAACCATTCTGTGTTAGAACGACTTGCGTGCTTAGGGTCGTTGTTCTGCTGCCTGACCCATGTTCTCTTGAGCTCACTGACAGCTGTCCTGACATTTTCCTTTAAAATTTGTAAAATTCAGAGTTCATTGTTCCATGATGACAAGCCGTCCTGGCCCAGGTGCAGGAAAAATGCCCAAACCATGATACTCCCACCACTGTGATTCACACATGGGATAAGGTTTTTATGCTGGAATGCAGTGTTTACCTTTCTCCAAACATACCGCTTCTCATTTAAACCAAAAAGATCTATTTTGGTCTTATCTGTCCACAAAACATTGTTCAATTAGCCTTCTGGCTTGTCCATGTGCTCTTTAGCAAACTGCAGATGGGCAGCAATGTTCTTTTTGGAGATTGCCACCCCATTGGTTGAAAACACCTGACGCTGGGGTGATTAATTTCACCCTCAAAATATCCTAAAGGTTCACATAGTTTTGCCACTCACAGATGATATTGGACCATTTTCCTCAATAAATAAATGACAATGAATAAGCCATATATGTATACCACAAACGGTATATATATTCTATGATATGGGCTCTTTAAAGAAATAAAGAACCAATTTACTTTGTTAGAAAACACTTATCAATACATCCCACTGATTATGATTGAGGAAGAAAAGGAAAAAGTGGATGCCAAGTCTCCCCCAATTAAAACACAGGTTGTATAATAAGCTACTGAAGCAGATGTACCATGGTTCTTTCTACCATGGGAAATTAGCAATACATCATCATGATTTATAGATAAAGACAAAGTGAGCAGAGTATATAGATCATAATAGTGTTTATAAAACAGAGCTCAACAGCCTTGTCTTAATTAAATAAGGTAAAAGTCAGAAAGAGTGCTTCTTTTTCTGTAAGTGGAATATTTTGAGATGATGTCCTCTGAGTGACCCTAGCTCACAGGTGGGCCAGCATTTGTTCTGTTTTGGCTTCCTGTCTGAAATTTCCTTTGCCCCAGTCAGGGGCTGCATGACATGCCAGAAGTAATACCTCTGGATCAGTGGGTTCTAGGAACATATTTTGACAGAGTACATCCTGCTGATTGTTCTGGCACCAAATGCTCAGTCTGAAAAATGACCTCTTTCTGGTCAAGGTACTGGTAAGGATTTAACATTTGCCACGCATTACAGCCTAGGTCATAGGCCTTGTTAAGTAACATAGGTGACAGGTAACCCATTACAAGACTGCATGTCTTAACAGTTTATTGTCAACTCATGCCAAGGTTTGGACCCTGGTCACATACACGCATAAGCGTGTGTCTTTACACGTATGTCTATGCAAGTAAATGTGCAAAAGATCAGGTTGGGACGAAGTGTTAATTATACATTTCCAAGGTTTGACCACAGGTTTCGTTCAGAAGTTTGATTATGTAATCTAAAAAAAATGCAATGGAGCCCATGTGTCTGTTTACTTCATTTATTATTAACAGTGTAGTGCTTTGAAAAAACATCACTGATAAAAACATAATTATTTTTTGTATTATTGAACTGTCTTTATTGAAGGCTGTTTAATTCACCTCAAAGAGTGAACAATTGAAGCGCTATTCCTTAACTAGTATATGGGACTTTACCAGTGTGTTTTCAGATTTTCTCCCATTACAAAAACATGTTCCAGTTGAAAAACAAAAAAATCTTTAGTTCATTACATATAACACCAGTTAATACAGACTCGCTCATACTTAGAAACCCTACCTAATGCTTTGCCTTAGAAGCTGCAGTTGCCTTGAACTCCCATCTGAAAGCCTATCATTTGAAGAACGAGCTACCAAACAATCAATAACTCTCAGGATGAATATCCAGCCAATCCTTTCTGAAGCAGTATATTTTTTTGAGAGTCCAGGCATCAATATGGAAGAGTGGCACAGCTAATTTGCATTGGATTTCACTCCAGATGTGTTTAAACCGTTCAAGACTTAAAAAGTATTCATAAAACATAGAAATCTCACCTACACAGTTACAGCAGAACACAGTGTGAAAACAGAATGCACTGTCATAGTAGAAAGTTGTCAGTGTAGAAGGTGTAACAAACGTGGAACACACGGTGATATGTGGCTGGGATAAGGCACATCAGTTGAACATTGATGAAAGTCTTTTAACTCATTGATCTCAGACAAGTAAGACTGTTTAATAACAGATAGACTATTAAAGATTGAAGATTGACAGACTGTGTTTGCATGTGCATGTGTGTGTGGTGGGAGCTGAGAGGTTAGGTGTGACCACAATGGAAAACAAATAAATAGACAGGTCATTCCAGGCATTCAATTCTGGGGCATATCTAGAGCTGCTTTGCTCTTAACTCTTCCTGTAGCATTGGGGTCAGGTTTGGGCTCGAGTGGCCTGTGTGGTTTATTTTGGGTCGTCAGGAGCTGCAATCTTCTCCAGACTAGGTTCTATGCCCCAAATCTCACGAGCATATTGAGCAATGGTGCGATCACTGGAGAACTTGCCGGAACCAGCGATGTTATAGATCACCTTCTTGGTCCATTCCTTGGGTTTCTGTTAGGAGAAATAGTTTAGAAATGAAAAGGAGATGAGTTCAAGCATGTGAATTTTGAAGCCAGCATTTGGGAGGCCACAAGAAGTGACATCACTCACCTTGTACAGAGCACTGACTTTCTCTTGGCATCTGATGTAGTCTTCATAGTCTGCAAACACTTTAAACCTGTCAGGGGTTTTTTTGACAGAGAAAGTGCAGACATGGGTCACATGTTTCCTTAATCCATCAACTTAAAAGAGCATATTGAAGATATTATGCAGATGAGCTCGCCTGAAGAACAGTAACCTGTGTTACATGCTGAGCATGTGTGTGAGAGCATGCGCACATATAATTTGCCACAGTGTCTGTACCTGTCATGGTGCATCAGCAAATTGACAATGTCCTTGAAGAGGTCAGGCTGCTTGGGACTGAAGAAGCCTCCTGCAATCTGGTCAATAGCTTGCTTTAGCTCTGGAATACGGTTGTAGT